CAGGAGCACTTCGGGGGCTGCCCTGTCTCCCTGCCTGCCCCCAGGAAGAGCCCCCGGCCTAGTTCACCAGCCCTAGCACTGCCTGTGGGTGGGCTCGGCTCCCTGTGCCCCCACCCCCGCCCCCATCTTCCTGGAGCTCAGCACCTGGGGGGGCAGGGCAGGGACATGGAGGAGCAGGTGGCCCTTGGAGCCTCAGGTCTCAGGCCCCCGTGGGTGTCTACTTCTCAGTCTGTTCAAAACTTGGGGATCCTGTGCTCAGGCTGCCAAGTTCCCCTTCAGCTGCCGCCGCCGCTGCTGCTCCTGGTGGCCCAACCGTGGGAGAAGGCTGGTGCCACCAGCTCTCATCCCGCACAGGGGCTGGGCAACCTCCCCTCTCAGCCTTACACCCGATTTTCATCGCTTTCGTGTCACTGAGAACCTGTGCTCCCAAGGATATGGGTCCCAGAGACACACACACACACACCCCAACAGCCAGTTCCCCCCACCCCGCAGGAGTTCCAGAATCAATCACCCCCGGGCCTGGAAGCAGCCATCCCTTGAGACCGTGGGAGGCCCCTGATCTCATGTCCAAAGGGTCAGGACAGGCCCCCTGGCCACCTGCTGCTGGGGCGCAGGGAGCTGGAACTCAGGTGACCTCCTGGAACGGGAGGCCCCACCCCCGCCCCAGCTGCTGCTGCCATGACAGGGAGAGGAAATGCTGGAGGCCCCCCAGGAGGGCCACTCACCCTCGTCCCCTCCACGGCCGGGGCCTGTCCACCCACTGCAGAAACCGTGCTCCCCTCGCCTGCCTCGCCGTCGCTGCCCGGAGGCCCGAGGCAGCCCTTCCCTCCGCCAGCTCCAGTTCTGGAGCCTTGCAGTGGGGAGGGAAGGCCACCGGCTCATCCCCAATGTGGCCTGGGTGCATCTGCCAGGGTCTGGGCTGTTCAGGCTCATCCCTCCCCCACACACACACTCACACACATGCACGGCCCTGGGAGAGGGGGCTCCCTGTCCCACCCCTGGCGGGTTCTTGCACAGGAGGGTCATGAATCCTCTGGCCTCCTCCCGTCCCCAGAGGGCCCTCCTCCAAACACTGTCTGACGGAGGACGTGGAGAGCGGTCCTCGGAGGCACCCTCTGCCTCTGCTGGCGCTGTGTCTCCCTCCGCTCAGGCCGCCGTAACAAATACCACAGACAGGGGCTTAAGCGACAGCCATTATTTCTCACAGATCTGGAGGCCGGAAGTCCAAGATGGGGGTACCAGCATCCTTGGGGTCTGGAGAGGGCTCTCTTCCGGCTGGCACATGGCCAGCTTCCCTCTGTGTCCTCACCTGGCCGAGAGAGAACTCTCTCATGTCTCTGCCTGTAGGGCTGGTCCTGGAGGATCAGGGCCCCGCCCCTATGACCTCATTTGACCGTAATTCCTTCCTTTGAGGCCCCATCTCCAAGCACAGCTACAGGGGCATCAGGGCTTCACCATATGGATTTGGGTTCACAACATACTCCATAGCAGCCTGCTGGGCGATGGGCCCCTCCCTCAGGCAGCAAGACCCCAGGCCCGTCCTGGAAGCTGGAGGGTCACCACGGGGGCCAGGAGCCCAGCCTGGTCACGGGAGCCTCCACCCCACTGGGGCGGGGTCTGCTGGAGAGGTGGCATTTAGGAAAACCCAGCGGGGTGGTCACTGCAGCCTTCCTGGTGCCTTGACTGCACCCCTTCTGAGCATTAACATTTATTTCGGGTCCTGTGTGCACGTGCCCACGCTCCATAACAGTCACCCACTGGCAGGAGAGCTCAGAGGAGACGCCCTTGGCCTCTGGGGCACCCACTTTGCCGCCTGTGGTGTTCGTCTCTGGAAGGACCAACTGTGGTTTTCGGGAAGGTTCCGCTGGGCAGGCTGAGGCCCCGGGATCCCAGGTGGGAGGAGATCGTGTGCTCTGGGCAGGGAGAAAAGGCTTCCCGCCCGGTGGTGGAGGGGCCTGCGGCAGAGGAGGTCCCTCCAGTCCCCTGAGGAAAGAAGGGAGACTCCAGAATAAGAGAGAAAGGCCAGAGCGTGGGGTGTGCGAGGGGTGTGCCCACTAAAGTTTGGACTCATTTGTAATTTTCCACTTGAGCAAGAAAATAATATTTGGCTTATAATTTAAAGAGAAAGACTTCTGAGTGTATACCTAAAAAACCTGAAAGCAGGGACGCCAAGAGACACTTGTGCACCCATGTTCAGAGCGGCACAATTCACAACAGCCAAAGAGGGGAAGCAACTCACACGTCCATCGATGGACGGATGGATGGATAAACAAAATGTGGTCTATCCACACAATGGGATATTATTCAACCTTCAAAAGGATGGAAATCCTGTCACATGCTACATGGACGAATCTTGAGGACATCAGGCTGAGTGAAACAAGCCAGTCACAAAAGGGCAAATACCCCATGAGGTCCCTAGAGGAGCTGAATCCACAGAGACAGAAAGTAGGGTGGGGGGTGCCGGGGCTGAGGCCAGACCCACACCCCTGGGTCCTCGTGGCTGGGTGGGGTGCTGTGATCAGCTCTGGCCAATGAGTTCGGAGCAGAAAGGACGGGGCCCTTTGGGGCTGGAGCATTTCATTGCTAGGTGGAGACCCTGCATTTCTCCAGCAGGCAGGGCCTCGGGGGGGCTGCAGACGCACAGCGTGAAGGAGAAGGAGACCGAAGTCCCTGTGAGCCCCTGAGACCGGGGGCGTCTGTTACTGCAGCATCAGCGCTCTTTGCCGACTGCTCTAGAGGAAGGCGGTCCGTGAGCGGGGGAGGGTGCGACCAGGATGTCACAGTTCATATATGTATGTGTATTGCGGACCCCTCACGGGCAGAGCCAGGACCCTGGGTTCTCATCCTGAACTGGTCACTACCTTGCTGTGTCATATTGGACAAGTCACTCATCCTCAGTTTCCCCATCTGTAGCAAGGATCTTTCCAGATACAGAACTCTGACTGGTGATATTTCTTTGCTTCTGTGCACTGTGGACCCGCAGAGCAGGAGCTGCGAGGCTGTGCACTGCTAGACCCCGGCTCCCTGACGCAGAAGCTCTGACAACTACTTAACGGGTTTTGACCTAAAGGTGATAAGGGCTTAATAATGAACTGATGGTCTTACCCCCAAGAACCCTTCTCAGTGACTCATGTGTTTGCAGAGAGCTCAGAACTGCTTTAACAGGCTGTAAAAAGCTCTAAAAATGTAAAATATCATCAGCACAAGAAGAGTTTCTCATGCTGACATTTCTCTTCCCACCGTGGGGATTTCTGTCAGCCTGTGTTTGTGGCGGAGCAGACGTAAGACGGGAGGATATAAGATCAGGCGCAGCTCTTATTTGCAAGCAACGGGAGCAGATTCTGGCTGGTTACAGAGAAAGAGTTTATTCGAGGATTTGGGGAGAGACCAGAGTTGTCAGGAGGTGGGAGAGCCAATGTTGAGGTGAAGATCCTTCCAGGAACAGTGCTTCCAACCACCCACAGGACAGGCCTGATGGAAAAACAGCCACTACTGCAGCCACCACACAGGGATGTTCCCGCCTCATGGGGATGCTCCCACCTCACGAGGATGCTCCACTGCACGGAGATGCTCCCACCTCATGAGGATGCTCCACGGCACGGAGATGCTCCCACCTCATGAGGATGCTGCCATCACACAGAGATGCACCCACCTCATGAGGATGCTCCACTGCACGGAGATGCTCCCACCTCATGAGGATGCTCCCACTGCACAGAGGTGCTCCCAGTGCACTGAGATGCTCCCACCACACGGAGGTGCTCCCACTGCACAGAGATGTTCCCATGGCACAGGGACACTCCCGTTGTACAGAGATGCTCCCACCACACAGGCATGCTCCAATTGCACTGAACCGAACCCACAACTGCCACCAACATGGATACCAGTTGTGTCCCAGGCACTTAGCTTTGTTGCCACTGCAGCCTCCTGCACCCCCAAGCTGAACATTGTCCATCTGCCCTCTCCAGCAGAATAAAGTCCAGGGCCACCTCGTCCCTTAGGGTGCATGTCACAGTGGTGGCGCCTAAGTCACTGTCTGGGCCCTGGTTGCAGAAGAGGCTGGGTAAACCCGTTTTCTGGCCACTTTGGGTTGAAAGACTAGCAGGGCGGGGAACCCCAGTCTGACAAGGGCGCTTGCAAGGTGCAGGTGCATGAGTACATGGCCAATGTCCCACCCCGAGGTCAAATAGGGCATCAAGAGCATGGCCTGCTCAGTCACAAGTCAAAAAGGTTTCAATAATTAGGTGCAAACAATCCCAGAAAACGTCGCGGAGTCCGCACACGGTTGTACTCAGTGTGCAGTCAGCGCCAACAGCCGAATGCCTTTGCCCTAAAACACAGTCCGGGGCACATGACGGGAGGGCGGGCACCAGAAGGTGTGGCCGGGGGCCCTGGCTGGCTGCACGGCAGAAAGCAAGCCCCTTACCGCGCTGGCTCGCTGGCTCCCAGGTCCTGGCACGTGATCTCTTTCCGGCTCAGCCTGGCTGTCACGCCCACACTCAGCGGGGACATTCAGGTTTCACAGTTTAATAAGGTTCAAAGCAGACCAAGTCTTGGCTCAAGCTGCTGGCAGGGAAAATCAATTTAGGAAAAAACAAATGGGAAGTCCCAGACCTGGGAACCGGAATCTTTATTTCCTCCTTCCTTCCAGCTCTCCCTCCCCCAGGGCTTATTAATGTGGAATTTGCGCTGGTGGGGAGGACCAACTCTCCGACTTCAACATTTGTAAGAGCAAATTTAATAAAGCTGGGAATAATGCCATCCCGACTAATGCCTTCATTTTGCATTATTATTCTTTCTCTTCTATTGCAAAGCATTGGAAATGCAAGGAGTTATTGTTACAGCAACAAAAGGAAAACTGGTGGGTTACTGATTAGAGGAGCTTGGGGAAAACAGGAGAAAAAAGCTCAAAGAGGGTGGCCGGCCCAGGATTACGGTTCCTTTACGTTCCGTGCCTTTTGTTATGAATGGGAAACGCCCCGCATCCTTTGCTACAGTCGTCCTGCCTTACGGCTCTGCGGTCCGTGCTTCAGTGTCACTAGGCTGTGGGCGTGGAACCTGTAGGAGTTTTCACAAAACACGAATGCGAGGAGGGTGGCGCTCCCCCATCTCTCCACACCGTGAAATCACGCTGCCAGCCGTGCACCAGCTGGGGGCTCCTCTTGCTTCTGTCCAAAGTCGCATTTTTAAAACAGAAAACCTGCAAGTCCTCTTTCGTGAGAGACAGATCTTACACGGATATTAAAAAAGATGTTTGCACATTCCACGAAAGGAAAAGACACCAGCTGGAAGTACTGGCCAAACCGAGCAAGCGTGTGCTTCACGGGCCTCAGGCATCCCCGGGTCTCCCCGTCTCGTGTGGAAAAGGAAGAGTTTCCACTTAGAAAAAGGCCCCGTCCTGACCCACCCAGGCGCTGGGATGTGCACGTGTGTTAGAAGCTGGCCCCACGGTTCCCTCCACCTTCGCGCCACCTCAAGCCCTTTGGGAGCAAGGAAGGTACAAAATCGCAACGTGCAAGCGAGCTGTGTGAGTTGAAGAGACCCCGGGCTGGGACGGGCACCAGTTCTCTGCACAGAAAAAGGCAGCGGCTTGGGCAATAGGAGAATGAAACCGAGGTGAGCCAGCCATTCACAATGTCTGGGGATAGTACCTACCATGTGCTGGATGCAGGGCCAGGCCCTGGGGACACCGAGGGGAGGACAGGGCCTCGTGGTGCCAGCCTGCCACGGAATGGTAACAGCTAGCATCTAGTGCCAGGGGCTGGTCCCCATGAATACTACCCCATATTTGCCTATTTCATGGTTATCATTAGCAAAACGGGTGGGAGGGGGGAGCTATTGTCTTGTCTTTGGGGAGAACAAAGTTTTGGTCTAACTCTTTCCATTTCTGGAATGGTTATGTATCTCAGGCTCAGCCAATCAGAGGCCTTCCCTGGGTTTTTTTTTTTTTTTTTTGCTAGTGCTTTGTAATTTGATTAAAAAGTATAAGCATATTTTATCAGAGGATACTTTTGGTTGTAAGAAATAGAAAACTGAAAGTAGTTTAAACAATAAGAGAAATCATTGGCACATTTAACGAGAAAGTCTGGAAATAGGGCAAGCCTCAGGGTGGGTTTGATCCAGGGGCTCTGCAATGACACCAAGGACCCAGTTCCTTGCCATCTCTGCTTTGTCCTAAGCCTAGATCTCTTTGTGGTCACAGCATGGCTGCCTGGTGTCCCTGGCGCACCAAGCTTCCCCATCTAGGTTGGGGGAGAGAAAAGGAGGGAGCAGGATTTTCTCTTCCCCAAGCTTCCAGGCAAAGTCCAGCACGTGGCGCTGACTGGCTTGGCCTGAGCTGCTCACCGTGGCCTGGTGAAGGCCTGTGTGGTTGGCTTGGGCCCAGTTACTCCCAAAACCTGAACCAATTGCTGTGGCAGAGCAGTGATGTTATGCCGAGTGGCCTCGCAATCAGATCCCCTCTCTGGAGGTGGAGAGGGGTCAGTACACCTGATTATCTTGGCATCTGTGCACTGGCTGCTGGGGACCACAGAGCCCGCCACACGTGACCCCAGAGCTGCCAGCAGCCACGCCACCTTCCACACAACCCAGCCTGGGATCGTGGAGATGCTCGCGCCCCTCCACCTCCACCCCCGGAAGAACCGGAGGGAGAAGGACACTCGAGCAGGGATCTCGTGAAAGCATCCCCCAGCCGCTGTGTGGACACACACTGAAGGGACCGAGGGCAGCGCAGGGAGAATGGCTGGGAGGCTGCTGCGCTGAGCCGCCTGAGGTGCTGGTGGCCTGGACCACTCGGACCAGTGCGGACTGATAAACAAATGACAAGCAATAGGACATATTGGAGTATGAGGAAGCCACTTGGTTTAAGCTAATCTGGCCTGACCTTGTTTCTCCAAAAGGGCCTGACGTGGCCTGTTGGGCAGGCATCGTACATCTTTTTTTTCTTTCTTTCAAGATTGGTACCTGAGCTAATATCTGTTGTCAATCCTTTTTCCTTCCTTCTCCCCAAAGCGCCACTCCCCTCCCCGCCATACATAGTTGTATATTCTAGTTGCGAGTGCCTCTATTTGTGGCACGTGGGACGCTGCCTCAATGTGGCCTGATGAGTGGTGCCACGTCCGCGCCCAGGATCCGAACCAGCAAAACCCTGGGCCACTGAAGCGGAGCGAGCGAACTTAACTACTCGGCCATGGGGCCGGCCCCACATGCATCGTACATCTGCTTTAAACATTCACGATGTCCCAAAGCCAAGATGATGCCCTTAAAGATAGGGATGCAGCTTCCCCGTATCAGCATTCCCTTAAGGATAAGCATCTCTTCCTAGAAACTAAGGATTGATTACCCACCTGCTGTGCTCACCTTGTGACCACTGACCTGCTGACCCCGACCTGCTGTGCCAGTTGAGCGTCTCGTGACAGTTGTAAAAGGGACATTCCTATCATATGTGATGGATGCTCTTTGTTCCACGACGATATGTAACCACTCTGTCCACCCTGCTTCTTCGGGGCCCTTCCTTCCTTGGGGAGTGAAGGCCCCGGGCTAGTCCTCAGACCTGGCTCATAATAAATGCACCCTAACTTTGATTTATGGATTGATTATGGATTATTCGTGTCAACAGGTTGGAGAGAAGCGGTGGCATTGTGACGAATTTTGAAGGAAGAGCCGTCAGGGCTGGCTGAGGGACCACACATGGGATGCAAGAGGACAGGAGCCAAGGATGACCCCAAAGGTGTGGATGGGGCCGGTGGAGAGCAGGACGGGCAGCCCAGGGGAGGGCCCGGTGTGGACGCATGGAGCTTGAGCTGCCTGCTGAGGTCTCCATGTGGGCAGCGGAGGCAGGGGTCCGGAGGAGGGGAGGTATTAGTTGCGGACCATCAGGGTGTGGGCCGTAGTGACAGCAGGAGGCTGGGGAGTGAGTGTGGAGGGAAGCGGTGCAGACCCGGCACTCGGTGTGGACCTTCAGGGATCAGGGGGATCAGGGAAGTGATCCTGGCAGGAGGCAGCCAGGACACTGAGGGGCGCAGCCAGAAGGGTGGGCCATGGATCCCGGGCTGATGTAAGCCCATCCGTGGACTCCCCCTCACTGAGTTGCTCCCTGAACTGCGATGTGACAATATTGGGGGAGCAGTCATCCTCCTGCCTGGGGCCGGGGTCCCACAACGGCACCTCCAGGGGTATCCAGCCCCCTGCCTGGGTCTTCCTGATCATATGACCCCTGCCTCAAGGCAGGGACAGTGACTGTGCCCACGCACAGAAATGCAGCGCTGGGCCCTGAATGACCCCAGGCTTGGTCACACCCCCTCCTCCAGGAAGCCCTCCTTGCTCCTCAGCCTGGGTCAGGGCCGCTTCTGGGACTGTGGGGTTCTCAGCCCACGGTGGGGGGGCCCCGCCACAGTCCTGCGAAGTCAGCACCCGGCCCAGAGGATGCTCTGGGGGAACCTATTGAATGAAAGTTTCCTCTCGACGCCTCGCCAGTCTCGCCCCCGCCAGCCTCACCGCGCACAGCCTGGAAACGCGGACACGAGAGAGGCGGCCCCCGTAGGTGTGCGGATAGGGGCTCGGCGAGGGCCTCCGAGCGCGCATGCTCCACCCTCCCCGCCCACCAGGCGGGGCCACCGGTGCCCCGCCCCGTCCCCGCCGCGACCCCGCCCCCCGGGACGTAGCGCGGGCCAGGGGCGGGGCCAGGGGAGGCGGGCCCAGCGGAGCCCAGGTGAGCCTCAGGTGAGCGGCGGCCAGGTGAGGCTGGTGTCCACGGGAGGGCGCCCGCCTGGGCCCGAGGGAGGCGCCGCGCGGGCTCCGAGGCCGTGGGCCGGACGGGCCCCTTGGCAGGTGGGTGACGCGAGGCAGAGACGGGCGCGGTCCTGGTCCCCGCTCCCGCCCGCCCGGCCGGGTCCCCTTCCCCGGCCCCAGCCTACCCGGTTTTCCCCGAGGGCGCGCTCCTCTCCCACTGCGCCCGCCCGTCTCCCCTCCCTGGGTCCCCCCGCCCTCTGTCCCTGCACCCCCTTCCCCTTCTCTCCCTCCTCCCACCCCCTCCCTCCCCCGTCCCTGCATCCCCCTTCTCTCCCTCCCCCCTGCACCCCTGTCTCTCCCTCCTCCCGCCCCCTCCCTCCCCCCTGCATCCCCCTCCTCTCCCTCCTCCCGCCTCCTCCCTCCCCCCTCTCCCTGCACCCCCTCCTTCCCCCCAGACTTCTCTCCCTGTGTTTTCCTGTTTTGGTCTGGTTGAGCTGGGCTGTCTCAGATCAAACTTTCGCTTGTCCCCCCTTTTCTTCCCCTAATTCAGGGTCTCCGATGCGGGGTCACCCAGGGTACGGGCACATCAGCTCCCTCACCCTGAACCTGAGGGGGCTTGGAAGCATCGGTCCTGCTTCGCAGATGAGAAACTGAGGCAGGGCAGGTGCTGCGCTAATTTAAACTCGGGGGCTCAGCGGGGCTGCTGGCCCCTGCAGCGCACAGGGGATGGAAGCCCCGAGGGTTAGTAGGCCGGAGACTTAACTTACAGGGCTAATTAGCCCGCGGAATCGCCAGTTAGGGGAGCGGCCCTGGCTGCTCTCCCTGTCCTCCAACGCTGGCCCGGGCCCCTGAGAATCCTGGAGCCAGGTGTGGGTGCTGGCTGGGCGTCCCCACCGCCTGGGCCTCAGACGAAGGATCTGGCCGGAGGGGAGGGGTGCCTGTGATGCTTGTTGGCAGCCGGCACATGGCCTTGGCTGTGGGGGCAGCAGGCCTTGAGGTCTAGTCAGAGGCTGTGTGGGGTCCAGAGAGCCCTGGGCTGCAGCTTCCCCTTGTCTATGAGTTGCCACAATGTTGCCATTTGTCCAGGCCAGAACTCAGAATCCAGACTCCAGAGTGAGCATCCTTCCTCCGTCTCTGTTGGCAGGTTTAGGATCTTGTTTGTGAGTTCCCCTGTTGATGCAGTGAATAACCACTCCTCAAACCAGCACCAGGGCAGGGACGGGGGTGCAGAGGGACACGGGACACCGGCCTGAGCCCCGCTCGTCCTTGTGGACAGCCACCTGCCCTCTCCCTGCCCACAGAGTCTGGTGACTGTGTGATAGACGGAAGCCCGAGCTTATGGGAGGAGGGCTTCCTGGAGGAGACGACCGTTGAGCTGAAGGAATGGGTGAGAGGAGGTAGGCAGTGAAGGGCTTGGCATGTTGAGGTCACACGGAGGCTGGGGGACTGCAGGTGGCTGGGATAATTCACGTGTCGGGGGTGGAAGTCGCCACGGGGACCTGTGGTGGAGTGGATAGGAATTTACTTGAATAACGTCATTGAGTCATTGAAATTTGACCTCAGTGAGATGGTCTAAGGTCTGGAAACTTCCTTAACTAAACATCCGTGGACGTACGGCGTCTAACAAGCTCGTCCCAGGCCCAGCCGGTCATGGGCACGCCGTCAGCGGTGGCTTCCGGTCGAGGACAGCCAGAGCTCAGGCCACCCAGGAGGGCCTCACATGCGGATCTTTCACCACATTTAAAACCCATCCCATTCCCTGATTTTGCCCTCTCTCACTGGTGGGGAAACTGAGGCGCTGAGGCCGCAGGAGGGTGAGAAAGAGCCATCAAAGGAGTCAGAGAGCTAGTTTTTGAGCAGGTCACTCTCCTTCTCGGGGCTTCAGCTACTGACCTGTAAAATGACCCTGTCGGCCATCCTTCCCCAGAATGGTCCAGGTCGCTGTCCCCAGCAGCTGTCCAGCCCCAACTTCACGCTTGCACGTCTCCCTCCTCGTCGCGCAGCCCGTGAGGCCGAGACTGTTACTTTTACAGATGAGGAACCTGAGACGGGGAGGGTTGGCTGACTTCCCGAGGTCACGCGGCCAGCGAGTGAGAGCCAGGCCTCGACGCCAGCTGCGCTGTGGCTGCAGCGTGCAGGCCCCCACTGGCTGTGCCTCCTCCCTGGGCACCGAGGGTGGAGATGCCTGGAGCCTGCTGGGCCTGCCCCTTGGGTCTGTGTGGGTTGGCGTGGGGTACACGCAGCTAACTTCTCCCTCCATCCTTGGACGAGGATGGATGCTGGGGGAGATGCGCCACGCGTGTCCAGAGGCTCCGGCCTCCCCGGGCACATTTGAGGGGAGCCCTTCGGCCCGGCACTGTGGGAGTGGGGTGTCCTTGAAGATGCCCATGTGGGACTCGGCCGCCCGCGAGCACACTGCTCTGCGACCGCCCTGGCCACCAGCCGGGTTTCTGGGTCCCTGGAAGGCGGAGCCCCACTGAGGCCTGGCCGTGCTCTCTCCTCTCACGAGGGCACCTGAGGCTCCGGGGAGGGACCTGGCGGGCGGTGCTCAACAGCTGGCCCTGGAGCCCCCCCCACTCCCAACCCCTGGCCGTGTGACCTTGAGTTTCTAGGCACTCAGTGCCTTGCTTTCCCCATCTGTAAGATCCGGACAGTGTTACTACCTCTCATAGGGTTATCGGGAAAATCAAATGAGTTACTTTCTTTCACTTTCTTCATGATCCCCGACGGGGCAGGGCAGCCCGAAGTCCTTTTTCAGTTGGAGGCCAATGACTGTCCGTCAGAAGGAACTGGTTTGACTGGTCAGGAGTCCAGAAACTTCTGGGAAGCCGTCCCCTCCCTTCCCCCACCTGGTCATAAAATTCAAACAAGCAAAAGAAACCCGGGGTGGGGGGGGTGCGGTGGGAGGGCCGCCCATGTTCTTATCTGCAGGAAGGCCAGGAGGCCCGGTCGGCTGGGTGGGAAGCGGGTGGCCACGCGCCCTGCGGGCCCCTCTCCAGGCCTGCGGCTCTCAGGTTCTCGGGGTTCCCTGCCCCAGCCATGGCCCTGACGCTTCCGGCCACCACGTTGGCTCTGTGCTGTGGCACCGTGCGTTTTACGGGGCGGGGCTGCTTTCTGCGTTTCTGGTTTTGCTTATGGAGAATTTCAGATGTTCAAAAGTAAGCGGATGTCCCAGCGGCAGCCATGCCAAGCTGCCCCCCGGCCTTGGCTGGCCCTGCGGCTGCCCCCTCCTGCTGCCCACTCCCGCTCACCCCCAGGCCCCCACCTGCTCACCCCCACTTGCTCACCCCCAGGCCCCCATCTGCTCACAAACCTCCCCCCCGCTGACCCCCACCCTCTCGCCCCATCTCACTTTCTTACTCCCACATTATTTTAAAGCAGTTTGCAGCCCTCATGCTCCACGGATGTTGCTGTGTGAATCCCTCTTTATAACGTGACCACGATATTATTATCACACTTAAAACAAGTAACAGTAACTCCTGGACATCCAAGAGTATTTGGATTCCCAGTTGCCTCCAATATCAAAATTTCCTTTAGGTTTTTCTTTAATGGTTGTTTTTCATCAGGACCCAAACATGGTCTATGTACGCAGTGTCGGTCCCCAGGCCCCCGTGGCCACTCCCCGTGTCGGTCCCCAGGCCCCCGCGGCCACTCCCCTGTAGGAGAGGCTTGTGCTTGGCCTCCGTCCGCCTCGACCCTCCCCTGCCTGCCTTGTCTGTGGGTGGGCCCACCTTGCAGTGTGAGGTCCTGCCTGTCACTGTCTCCTGTCCTCATCTGGTGCTGGCGGTGGGGCTGTGCCCATCTCGCAGACGAGGGGGTGGGTCTGAGAGGGGTCAACCAGCCTCACTGGGAGGCACCGTGAGTCGGGGTGACCCGGGCTGGCACCCGTCCTCTGACTCTGCATCCTTTGCTCTCTCACGGCAGCTGCCTGGGGGCTGGTGGCCCACACTGCAGAGGTCCCGGGGTCTGGGTGGGGCCCCAGAGAGGATCAGAACCATC